TATTATGGGTCACAGTTATTTTTATAGTTTTACAGAAGTCGTTCCACGGTAACTCCGTGGCTAGTACACAATATTTCATGTATGGTCACTTAAATTAAACTGACAAACATGGGGTTTATAAAAGATAATTGGACGGAGAATATAACATGTATATAAATGGGCGCATGCGCTTTCCTGATATCGTGAGTTATATATATATATATATATATACATGGGCCAAAGGGCTAATACTTGACTTGAAGGCGTGACCCCCGGATAGGTTTACGGAGACCCGATTATATATATGAAAATATTCTCTCCAATTCAAATAACATGTAAAATAAGAATAATATGCTTGTGTGTCCTATGGTAGGCTTTGTTTGATATCTACAATTAGAAACTTTCTTTATTATCACCTTAGATGATTATGGATTCTTGTGAGATGTGGACTAGTTATATTTCTTTTCATACATAGATCATGGATTCTTGTGAGATGTGGACTAGTTATATTTCTTTTCATACATAGATCGGGATTAATATTTAATTATCTACAATTTGAGACATATGGACTAGTTATATTTCTTTTCATACATAGATCGGGATTAATATTTAATTATCTACAATTTGAGACATATGATATATGGCTAAATACCCATATTGGTATTTTAATTCCACCCCATTTACCAAGAAGATATTTTAATTAGGCAAACATGTTTTAAGACATTTTAATTGATTCAACTTACCAACAAGACCATTTTTCTTGTCGGCGACCAGTTTTCCGACGAAAGCTCGTCACGTGCGTGGCACGTGATGACTTAAACTAATTTTTAGCTGCTGATGTGGCACCGATTTGTCCTATTTTAGGTGAATTGTGATTGTTAGAGGGTTAATTTACGCCTTTAAACACCGCCACGTCAGAAAATTTGTGCCACATCAGCAGCTAAAAATTAGTTTAAGTCATCACGTGCCACACACATGACGAGCTTTCGCCGGAAAACTGGTCGCCGACGAGAAAAATGGCCTTGTTGGTAAGTTGAATCAATTAAAATGTATTAAAGCAGGTTTGCCTAATTAAAATACCTTCTTGGTAAATAGGGTGAAATTAAAATACCAGTATGGGTATTTAGCCTATGATATATACATGAGAGTTTTCTTATTTAGATTATTTCACTCGATGTACTACGTCTTGTGTTGTAGATTTTTAAGTATTAATTCCATCTAGTTGTATGACCTTGTTACTTGGATGTTTATGTTGGCCTTCTTGTTTTGATGATGATTTACAAACAATTTACTACTAATGTTGTTTGTCTAGTGCTGTATTATCTATTCATTTGTAGACAAACAACGTAGTTTGGAGGATGGATGGATCTGCGCCCATTAACGACGCATTATCAAATGGGGTTGGCGGAATTAGTGCGAGTGAAGCACATACAATCTCAAGTTAAGATCAAGTTCAATGCTTCATCCGCAAAGATTACAAGTCAAGCATATTGAAGGACCAATCAAGCTTTGTGGTATTTAGTTTTTAGGAGTTTATATTATGTGTGCTTCATATACTCTAAGCCTCAATATCTATACACACCACATTTATTTTATTGGTTTTCTTCGTATATACTATATATATAGTCATAATATATATTATATATTACTTAGTTTTGTGTTTCCATCTATGCATTATATATAGTTATTATATATTACATACATAATGTTTTTGAGTTTTTACTGGTTATATATATTGAAAATTCTATATTTCATTAATTTTCTATTATTGTTTGTTCGAAACATTGCATAGAATATCCGCAATTTTGTGTCTGAAAATATGTGTCTTATAATTCTTTAGTTATAGATTTCAATATCAGTTTATACATGCTTTTACTAAGTCCTACAAAAAAATTTCACAAAAGTTTTAACAAGTTGGTTTAAGTCAAATATCAAATATCAATCATATTTTCCATTTTTGGACTATTTTTGTAAAAAATCGATTTGATGATTATTTCATTGGCGCAAGTCCTTTTTCCGAAACCAGTCATGTGTAGCATGTTATTATCATGTCTACAATCATTCCCCAAAGTTTTTACATTTTTTTTGTGAATTTGTTTCAGATCATTTGTTTTTAAACAGCTTTTTTTAAAAATCAGCAACATCAGGTTTTCCTCAGCTGGTGGCCGGTGCGTCGTCAGATCTCGGTCGACGGACCGGTCGACGATCAGTTCGAGTTTTTTGGTTTTTTCAGCCACTTGGGCGACAGAGAAGAGTCTGTCGGTCGACCGGGTCCGGTCGACACGACTCCATCGCGTCATGACCGCCACCGGTCTGACCCGAAAGATGTCAGGCTGTGGTTTTTCTCATGTTTTCGACCCTGGATAACGGCGGTCGACCGAATTTTCCAGTCGGTCGACCGAAAACTTTTCCCATCGGCTCGACCAGACAAAATTTCCCGCGTCGACCGACGATGGCTTACTGTTTGTTCAACTGGATTAGTTTTATGTTACCGGTTAGGGGGGGCCTGGGGTCTTTTGGTCTTTTTGTTTTGGAGTTGGGTGTTTTTGCTGAAATTTTTCTAGGGGTATATAACCCGGCATTGCTGATGTCACTTTTTCAAACTGAACTTAAGAGAGTTTTTAATCAAGCGTTTAATTAAAAGTTTTTTACAATGGCGTTTTAGTTGGTTTACAGTGTGTTTAAAAAGCTTTTAAGCAGAAATTGAGAGTTGTTTTGGTGAATCGGGGAATTCCACAGAGCTTGAGGAGATTATCTATTGAAGTTTTGAAGCTTCCAACTATAATCCCTCATCTCTTGTTCATCAAATTGAGAAGTTTTTTCTAAACTCAAACTCTGAGCCTTGTACGATTGTATATACTTGATTTGATTGATCATTGTTCTAAAGTAGATTCCAAATACTTGAGTTTTTCTTTTTAGTTGATATGATCTTATTTACTTCATTGTTATACACACACCCACATTTGAGCTTAATTGTATCTTTCATTACATAGTATAGTTGGGTGGTGAGATGATTGTAACATTTGAGTTGTGCTTTCATTGTGTGTGTCTCATCTATTGTTAGAGAACAAATTGGTTATATTTTGTTACATTGGTGAAGTGTTTTTAGGTTTTCGTGAGCTAGAAAACCGAGCACCGTGTGTTTTTTTTGTAGTTTAGTGAGGTTTTTCGAGTTTTGAGCTAGAATAGAAAACGCAGTGTGTTAGTGAGAAGTTTTTCGGTGAACGCTAGAGAAACCGATCGTGAAGTGTTGAGGAAGTGACGTTTATCGGTGAGCTGGTTGAACGATACTGTGCGAGAGTAGCGTAAACGTTATTCGGGTGAACGTAGAAAACCCGGTTGATAGTGGATTTCTCCCCGGGCAGTGGGGAGCGGAGACGTAGGACGGAAGGTCCGAACTCCGTGATCATATTCGCTTGTTTTGAGGTGTGCTTTGGCCGTTCATATAATTTATGTCATATCTTATATCGCATTGTCATTAGCTCATTTATCTCTTTCATCCACTATCTTTGTTTAGATTATTTACCCTTGTGTTAGTTTATATATCATTACATATATCTATTGTTTATTTTCTTGGGGTAGGAATATTATCTTGTGTTTAGTTTATATATCCTTGCATATATATATAATTCATCATATAGGATATATCTCATTTGTCTACCATTCGCTTACCTAGCCTTACAATATTGTGGTGTATTTTCATTACTGCTAGGATAACGTATTAATTAGTTTTATGGCATTTTAATCGGATTAGATTAGCATAAGACCCTAATCACCCCCCCTCTAGGGTCTAATAGTTTATGGATTCTTCTGATTGTTATACTCTAGTGGTGAATTGCATCTAGCTTGTTAGTATTCCAGCTGCATGTTTCTATTTATTATTATTGTTATTGCATTGGTCGTTCGATCGTTTCTATTTTTCCCTTGTGGGGTCTTGCTGTGTGCCATGCATGTTGACGTACACATGTTTCGATTCCCCGGAATTTTGGGAAGCGGAGCGTGACAATTAATAATATATTATTCTATACTATTATTTTAATTATTTTATTATAATTCATAAATAAATATTATAATAATTAGTTAATAATAACGTATACTTATTTTATAAATTATTTTATTTTATTACTTTTAAATAATTAATAGTTATAATATTATTGATAATTATAATTATTTAGGAAGGTGAGGAATATATAAGTAATAAGTAGTTATATTTATTTAATAAAATATTAATTAAAAATAATGACATGGATAAAATTTATTACAATTTAGGAGGGTAAAAAAACAAATAAATTTTTTTTTAACACCCCCCGTCTTTGCGTAGAAGTATAGATTTGGGGACAAATTTTCAAAACCAACTCATTTGGTTTTTTATTTGTAAAAAATGACCTATTTCAGTTTTATTTGCAAAAACCGACCTGGTTTCAGCCTCAGCGCTGAAACCAGGTCGGTTTTTGAAAAAAAGTTTCCGAAACTTCACGGGAGTTGAACTCCCGTGAAGTTTAGCAGCTTTTAAATAAGCTGCTAAACTTCACGGGAGTTCAACTCCCGTGATGTTTCGGAAACTTTTTTTCAAAAACCGACCTGGTTTCAGCGCTGAGGCTGAAACCAGGTCGGTTTTTACAAATATTTTGAAAATGGGTCGTTTTTTACAAATAAAAAAATTAAAAAGGTTGGTTTTGAAAATTTGTCCATAGATTTGGCTATTGTTTCATCCTCGGAAATTTTAAATATTTTGAAAATGGGTCGTTTTTTACAAATAAAAAAATCAAAATTTTTATTTTGAACTGTGAAACTTCACGGGAGTAGAACTTCCGTGAAGTTTAGCAGCTTAATTCAAAGCTGCTAAACTTCACGGGAGTTCAACTCCCGTGAAGTTTCGGAAACTTTTTTTCAAAAACCGACCTGGTTTCAGCGCTGAGGCTGAAACCAGGTCGGTTTTTGCAAATAAAACTGAAAATGATCGTTTTTTACAAATAAAAAACCAAAAGGGTTGGTTTTGAAAATTTGTCCGTTTCATCCTCCCTAACTTCCCCTTTTTCTCCTCTGCCCTTCACAAAATTGAGAAGAAATGGCGGCTGCTGCTTCGAGAGGAAAGCGAGCAGTAGTCTGCATACGTTCATCCTCCGAAGACGAGGAAGAAGGCGAAGCATCAGAATCCGAATTTGACTCCGAATCCGAGGAAGAACCCGAGTCTGAAGAGGAAAGCTACGAAGAGGAACTTATTAGGTTCGCAATTTTCCTAATTTCAGATTAGAACGGATTTCTCAGGGTTCTTTTTATTAATTTTTTCCCCTTTGGAATGGAATTGACAGCGAGGATGGAAGCGGGTCATCAAATGATGATGCAGATGAGGACTCGGAGGATGGCGATGACGAGTCGAAGGGGAAATCCACAGTTGAAGAGCGCTGCAACAAAGTAGTTGATCTTCTACGTGGTATATACATCCTTCTCTCTGTTTATAGATATTTATGTTAATGGTTGTTGTGGAAATGGGTAGAGATCTTGGTTCAGTCTATTTGTTTTCCCTCGACTAGCTATAAGGCATCAAACCTCCATTTCTTCATTTTTCTCATAAGGACAAATTTTCTAAACCAACCTATTTGGACTTTTATTCCCAAAAAACGACCCCATTCAAAAATAATTGCAAAAACCGATCTGGTTTCAGCCTCAGTGCTGAAACCAGGTCGGTTTTTGAAAAAAAACTCTCCGAAACTTCACGGGAGTTGAACTCCCGTGAAGTTTCGTAGTTCAAAAAACTTCACGGGAGTTCAACTCCCGTGAAGTTTCGGAGAGTTTTTTTCAAAAACCGACCTGGTTTCAGCGCTGAGGCTGAAACCATGTCGGTTTCTCTAAATAAATGTGAAACGGGTCTTTTTTTGGGAATAAAAGTCCAAATAGGTTGGTTTTGAAAATTTGTCCTTTCTCATAATTGTTCTGAAAATGGCTTTGTCTTTTGTACTTTCTATTGAACCCGATAATATCAATCCCATTACAGTTCTTACCCAGTACAAGGTTACTTAAATTCGATAATATGTAGATCCAACTATCAACAGATGATCATGATACATCTTAATGAGCTCTTCAACTTAACTCTATTCAGCATAAGTTAAAAATATGACGGAGCATTAACATCATTTGTATATATGAATGCATCGGCTTCTTTGAATATTGACATTTGATGTTGGACTTGCATATATTATAATATAAGGCAGCCAGCTTTTCAGGGTACGAGCACAGGATGTGAAAGAGTCATTATATTACATGAACGTGTTTAGGCAAACGTTTATGGTTGAGGGAGATTTGAGGTTCATCATTGGGGAAGATACTTGTTAGATAGCTCATAGCTTATAATGTACACACATAATCACTATATTTGTGAAATCTGGTTTGTTGAAAAAAGTGGTAGCAGTCAGTTTTTCATTTATATAATGTAAAAAACTCTTGTTGCCTTTCATAATAGTTTGCATATACCTTTGATTTATCAAACCAAATACTATTTCCAAGAGCAAAGTGAACCATTTTCTTCGCTTCACCAAACACTATTTACAACAGCAAAGTGAATTGTTATTTTCTTTCGCTTTTGCATAGGTGATTGGGAGATGAAACCAAAGCTTACTTCTAACGTTTATGTTTTGGAATTTTGTAAGTCATGATTTGTTTTCCGGAAAACCTTGTTTTATAATGTAAAAACATGATATTTCTTTGTTATTGTTTGGTCTCTTTTCTTTCAAGCCTCTCTTCGAGTGGTATTCTTCCTACATTTGGTAGTTTTTTTATCCTTACAAGTGTCCTTAGATAGAACAAAAAGAGAGAGGTTAGTACTTACAAATGCCATGCAGTTACTTTTGTCTCTGCTAAAAATTTGCAGTCCTTTTTATTTATGCAAATAGGCCACCAGTCATCATCCATAATTGTGTCACTCATGTATAGCTAAGTTATCCACACAAATCTTCTGCCCAATTGTCTCAACCAGTAAATTGTCTATATTCTATGTCAGTTTCTAAGTGAAGAACTATTACTCAGTTAGATGTTTAGGTTCTGAAATTTAAAACAGTTCTTTATTCACACATAACAACATCCAGAATAGTGCATTTGGACATAAAAGTAATGCTTGTTTTGACCCACTGGCTTTTAGCTGGTTAGGATGTTTGCTGATATTCTTTTTCATTTAATAGGAGGGAAAAATCTAAACGTACTGAAATTGGAAGAGTGCAGAGCCTATTTGAGAAAACATGAGCTTCGGATAACTGGGACCAAAGAAACATCTATTACGAGGATTCTGGAGCACTGGAGGTCAGTCATTCGCTATGGAATTTGACTAGATTTTTATTTTCGATGTGATGTTACTTTAGTTGTAAATTTCTCACCCTGAAAGCCGATAGGATGGTGCTACACCATTTTTCATTCAAAAGTTGCCTACAAACTGTACATTGTTTTGTTGTTTTGTATGTTACCCTATGATGCATGGATACGGATACGGGACACGGATACGATACGGACACGGATACGATACAGACACGGATACGAGATACGTCAAAATCTAAAAAATAGGATATGAGGATACGACAAGGAATTTTTTTAAAAAATTATTATTATATATAGAAAAATTTATAAAATTCAACTAACAATCTAAAAATGAATCTATCATAAAATAACAAGTTTGTAAACAAAAAGTACCTCAAGATGAAGTGGAAGCTAGTCCGATGACTTCTTCATTGCCTTCATCATCAGCAAACAATACGTTCTCCATGGTGGTTCATCAAGAGACAAGGTGGTGATATCAAGAATTCCGGCTTCGACAGAGGGGACTTTGTGGACGACGACGACATGCTTAGACGAGATCGATGAGGACTTCGACGACGACTACGACAGGCTTAGACAGAGGGGACTTTGACGACGCCTCGGCAGCTCCGAAAGGCTTCGACTAGGGCTTCGACGCGCTTTGGCAATCGACGAGGCCACGAGAGGCTCCGAGAAGCTTCGACGAGGACTGAAATGCTTCGACGGTGCTTTGACGAGGAGCAGAACTTCGGATCTTCGACGGGGCTTCGACAATGAACTATGGCGGCGTCGGGTGAGAGAACGAAAATTAGGGTTAGTGCTTGCGATCTTTTGTTTGAGTTTAGGTTTGGGTTTGGGTTTGGGTTCGAGTTTGTTTATCTCACGCGCACTTAGTTTTTTTTTCTTGGGCGAATCCGAGCCGTGTCCGAGCTCCTTTGATAGTGTCCGAGCCTAATTTGACTGTTGATCGTGTCCGACACGTATCGTGCACGAATCTGTGTCTAATTCGAGTCAGACTCAGATTCGTGGCCTCCGGGGGCGAATCCGTGCTTCAGAGATGTTACCATGAAAATAATTTTGGTACATAAGTACTGTCATTAAATTGATTATTTCAAATTTCAAGTTAATGCCTTTGGTAGACCTAGATGTCTCCAAAGTATGGGGACCAGTAGAAACTATTGTAAGAAAACAATATATCCAAAGAGTTGCAATATTTGTTTGCTTGGATACATGTGAATTTAGATCTTTGACCTCGAAAGAGAAATTGGTGAAAACCCCATCCTTCGTGCAAAAGTCGCAAAGCTATTCGAATGTCCTTCAGATCTTCTTTTCTTCCACTTCTATATTTCCTTTGGAATTAGTATTTAGAGGGATACTAAAAATTGTAGCTGGAAGCTTTAGCTCAGGTTTAATATGTTGAAATAGGTCTGCGAGTCTGTACATAACTCAATCTCTTGATAAGAACATCTACTGTGTATTCAATAGTTGTCACATCAAACAAGAAATAGGAGAAAATGCTGAGTATAGTTGAACTACTGGCTAGGATTGGGTAGACGGAGAAATGTGGATTGACGCAAAATAGAGAATAAGTTTTGTTACTGATTTACTAGGTTTAGCTCTTAACACTCAGAATAGCTGAGAGCTTGGCACCAATTATTTAGAAGCAAAAGGCGAGGCCAGGGCTACGTTGTCTAATGCGAGAGGCACAAAAAAGACAATTGGCTGAGTGAACCACAGAAAAAAATATTCAAAAAATTCATACACTTTACAAATAATATGCAATTAAACGCAATATCAATAAACTACAATAGGACAAATTTTGTACAACCGAATTTCGAAGTCACAAATTATAATACTTAACAAGACCTGAACTATCTAAATAAAGTAGTAACAATATTGAATAGTAAATCTAACTGGCAACTATTAGCATAATAATAATGACTAAGGCTGAACTTTCATGTTTCCAAATAGTTACATGCCCTCAATATCGTCTTAGTAACTTTCATTACCTGACGGCATGCAAGGCGCTAAGGTACAGTATTGTCTTGCTTGAGCTTCTGAGGTGCTATGGCGTATCGCTTTAAAACACTACTTGACACAATATTTACATGGCTTTTGGTTGGAGTCCAAGGTTCCTATTCTGACCCGCAATGTCTCATAGTCGGGCATGAATTTGCATTTTCAGTGAACTTGCCAATAAGTGCTATCTTTTGGATCATCTGAATAATTTTCAGGAGCCGGAAAATACATAATAAATTCATGACTAATAGTTGGTAACCTAGCAGGAAGAGTTCAAAGTTTGTGATTGTGCTCCCACTTAAGGAAGGATAATTGGAAACTTCCACATAAGATAAGCTTCTCGTATAGCATGTAAGACATCATTTCCTTCTCTTCTCAGTTGAACAAACATTCGCAACATACAGGAAAAATTCAGAACAAACTTAAGTGGATTGAGGACTCTGTCCATTAGCTTTTTAATCTCTTATTTTTGCTCTGAGATTCATGTTGGTGTGTGATGTATATCAAGACACGCATCAAACATATAAGCAAGTGGCGAACAGAGCCCTTGGTTCGCTATAGTCTTTCTAGCTTTACTTTATGTATATGTATGTGTGGATAATAAACTATGTTCTACGTTACATGGACTCGGGTACGAGTATCCGATACGGGTGCAGATCCGAGTGTCCGATACGAAATTTCTGAAAATTTTGGATACGGGGACACCGTCCTAAATTTGGATACGGGTACGGGGATACGACAATAAAAAAAATATTACAAGCATTCCTCAAAATATTACAAGTATATTGTTGAAATGGAAGGTAAATATTACAAGTATACAAAATATACCCAAATTTTTATTTACAAATGCTACCCATATAAATATTACAAGGTAAATATTACAAGTTTTATTTACAAATTTTTTTATTTACAAATTTTACCCATACAAATGCTACCCATACAAAATGTTACAAGTATACAATTTTTTATTTACAAAGACTACCCATATAAATAGGTTCTAGGGCTAGGGTTCCCACATTTTCCTTTTTCCCCTGTGCTCCTTTCCGCCGCCTCCTTCAGATCCAAGGATCGTCTCCTTTTTCCTCTCTCCTTCCTCTCTCTCCTCCTCCAGATCTCACTCCAAATTGATGATTCTAGGGCTCCTTCCTCTCTCCTCCAGATCTCATTCCAGATCTCATTGTTCTCCCGCGAAGCTCGTCTCCCCTCAAATCTCGTCGCCGAATCCTCCCTGGAATCTCGTCGCCGGCTCCTCCCTCGAAGCTCGTCATCCCTTGAAGCTCGTCGTTCCTCGAAGATTGTCGTTTACTCCTTCCTCGACTGCCTTCCCTATTTTCGAGCGAATTTGGTATGTAATTTCATCTTTTCTTTCTCTATTTTTGGTTTTTCGATTCACAAACTTCGTCGTATCCGAGTGCCAACCACCGTATCCGACCTGTATTTCGTATCCGGATCGGTGTCGGGTCGTATCGACGCCGGTACGATGGCCAAACCGCCGTGTCCGAGTAATGTAGACTATGTTACATGGGTACTTCTATCTGAAGCCATACCCCACCCATACCTGCACCCAAACTTCTTGGACACTTCTTGAATATATGCATACATTTATTTAGTGTGTACGCAACTATATAATACATTCTTTAATTTAAAACACTAGTATTTAGACCCGTGCAAAGCACGGTATCTAAAAGATTTTCTGTAAATACTGAACATGTTACCAAAATAAAGTATTCTGCTTTAGAAATGAAAGAGTAGATGTAATGCAAATAATGACATTCATGTTTGTTAATAAATAAACAAAAAAGAAGCATTATCTATATAAATACGAAAATGTCGGGAAAAGTATGATTCGATTAGTCTCCCTTCTCCCTTCCTCAAATTCTAGGGTTTCGTCGCAATCAATGGCAGTTCGAGCAATAACAACATCAGCGATGAAGCCAATATGGATGAAGCAAGCAGTGAAGGCCAAGATCAAGAGCGAGGCCGAGAAACCTTAGAAAAAGCATGCATTTATATAATTCAATGGTGTTAACATGACTAACATAATCAATTAATGAATGCTTCTAATATTATTAACATACGATACCTACAAAAATATATATTAATTAGTGACATAATATTTTTTAACCAAAAACTCAAAGAATCATGGTTATATGAGTGTACGCACTGTGATTTTGCCTTGTATACGTACGTTTTGAGAGTTATATGCATATGGATAATCTTTTTCATACTACCAAAACCCAAACACCCACAAATGATATTTTTACGTGCATTAAGTATTACAATTTTAATAAAAACTATGTTTTCATCTTGAAATCCGACATACTCGAAATTTATAAATCTTCACCATTTTATCTTTCAGAAACAAACAAAAAAGTGATATCAAAGGCCTCCGTTTAAAAAATATAACTTGAAATTAACATATTACTTCAATTCTCATATCTTAGAATTACATATGACTTCTATACATTATGAAATTGTTAAATTAGTGTCAATGAAACACTTTGGGGATCAAATTTTTAAAATAAAACTTGAGGGTATCAAAGTTTAAAAGAGGTTGAAGCTTTGGGGCATTAAAATGCAAATTAGCCTAAAATCAACGGCATACACAACAATTTAAATCCCATCAAATACAGGACAATCTTCACCAACATTGAACCTCTTCAAAGCCATCATCTGATCATGTTGGGTCTCGGGAGTGATCGACCGGAGGAAGGAGACATAATCGTCGGCATGGAAACGACAGAGATCACGGTCACATGCCGGGTTGGGCTTGAAGACCTGCGTAATCACGTAGGGGTGGAAACAAACCAAAAAATTAATTAATTATTCCTCTTAACTATTATATTTCATTCGGTAGTCTATTTAACAGTAAGCAAATATGACTCGCCTTATTATACAGATGATGTTAGTCCCAAATCTATTTCTTTAGCCAAGCAAAGTTACAACTTTGAATTTAAATTTTACTTACAGAAATAGCAAAAATGAAAGTATTTCTTTAATTAGATAACATCACTCGTCTTTGACTATAATAGCTGCTAGATGTGAGATCAACATACTATTTTGACCTAAGGTCTGAATTTTCTCTGCGAACTCAAACTCACATATAATTCTTGCTTGAAACTACTATTGGCTAATAGCTCAGCTTGCCTTAGTTTCTTCCGCCCATTTCCATATCTAGAAGAAAAAAAATTCTTTCAAACTCCTCTTAAACTGGAAATTCTTTAAGCTAAAGCAGTTCTACTATCTAGAAAAAAATTAACTTGATAAACTGGATCACCAAATTCTTTCAAACTCCTCTTAAACTAAAAGCACTCTGTAACAATATATTTCTAGCATTCTTGGATGCAATTATGAAACATTAGCCTATATGAAAGATTTTTGGAATTAGCCTTGCTGGCTTTGGTCTATGTTTAGTAAATTTGAACCAAGTATTCATAGGTAACCTACTTTCCCTCAAATTAATTGAAACAAAGAACTATTCCTAAAATATTTCTCTGTATAGTTGTCAGAAAAAAGCTATATAAACTCGATTGACAGGTTCAAGCAAATATTTCTCTGTATATCATTCTCTTTGGGTCATCCGGATCCGATGGGGGTTTCATTGGGTGGCCTCGGCCATAGTAGTAGTTGCTCTCCTTGGGATCATAAAGTAACAGACTTTGCGCTTCGTTGCGTCGGGGCCCGCCGACAGAGAGTTCCCTCCGCCGTCGCCGGTGAGGTCCATTTTGTCAAGCTACCACCAGTTGTGTAAATCCCTCTAAAATCACCACAAAACAACCCAAAATAAGAAATAGAACTGAGATTGAATTAGTACCAAGCTGCACCGAGAACCGAAACGCCGATTGAGATGGCGATCCCGATCGAATCAATGGTGTACAGTGAGATCTGAGTCAGCGCATGCGCCCACGTGCTCGCCGATTCTGCCATCGGATTGAACTGGAGGTAGGGTTTCTTGATGATGAGATAGAACCTAGGGTTTTTTCTGTGAATAAAAGGGGAGAAAAAGGCGCATCTAAACTGTGGAGGGGAGAGAGGAGATGGAGATCGAAGACTGGGAGTTTTTGGCGATAAGGGATTGTGGGAAGTTTTTTAAAGGAGAACGTGGGTCGTGGCCTTGTGGGAAAAGAGAACGTGGGTTGTAAAGAGGGAAGTTGGAGAGAGGGTACAGAGATGAGTTGGAGAGAGAGCGTGGGTTATTTATTTAATTTTTTTCATTGTTTATAATCTTAGATTACTGTTCATATTAACTGTTTTGTTGTTCTCCTTTAGTAATAAAGAAGTAGATTCGTTATACACTTATTGGACGTATGTACCACGCTTCCCATATATTTATTGAAAATCATTGGACATGGGTCAAGTTTGTTTCAGCCCATACCCAGTTAAGAACTATGATAGAAAGCTTTTGGATATCTAGTTAACAAGCAAGTTGTTTTGCAATGTGTAGTCGACATAAATAGAAAACATAAAAATATTATGGGAATTTTCATTCCATAGCTTGTGATGAACATTGATCACATGTAAATTATTTAATTTTGATACATATATAGACATACACATACATATGTATATCTACTTGTACCCTATCTTTTACAAATTTAGCGTGTCCTGTACCCGCACCAATACCCCCACTTGTTTCCATGCAACTTAGATAATAAATCACGTCATCTGTAATAAATAATCAAGATTTGTGAAACGAACGCTGTCAAGTAATGGAACAAATTTTGTCATTTATTCCATAGATAGATAAGTAACATAAGTTATCTGTGAGTATAAATATTTATATTTTAGCGCATGATGATTTTTATGAACATGTATGCATAGTACGTGATACCATAAGGAGGGGAAGTAACACTGAAGATGGTGAGATCAGGCTAATTATAAGATGGTCATTCAAATTAATGATGCCATCCATGTTGCAGCTAGCCATGAGTATGTGACTAGGTACGGAAGGTTTTTTTATCGCACATCATAATTGTGTCTTAGCTGCTTTGATTGGTTGTAGCTGATTCAATTATTCTTTGCCCTTATATCCAACATCTTGTAACTGTCCCTTGAACTTTACCTTGTTTTATTGTGGCCTTTGTGTCTAGTGAAATCCATGCGACTATTTATTTATATTTTAAGCACTGTTATAGGTAGCAATAAATAACACCGCAATCGTAACACTAATAGCGTTAGCGGTCCTTTTCTACTACGCTATCTCCCAATAGCGGTGATATATTATGGAATATGCGCTTTCTGCTCGCAAAAACGATCAATAGTGCGCTATAGCAGTGAATAGCAGATGATTGTGGGCCATATCCGTTTTTTGACTGCTATTTAAAAGCGGTTTGAGGTTTATATTTTAAAAATTAAATTTGACCCACAACCACTGCATCCCACCGCCTCTTGCCATTTTTGACGTATTCCCGCAGTGTCCCACAGCTTCCGGCACCTCCCTCAACACTTCCTCTCACCTTCTCTCGTCGTGAGCTGCTCTTACTGTAGTCCTCTCACCGTTCAGCTCCTCTTCTCGAAGACAATGACTCTTTGAATCCTTCTCCAGTCGTCTTCGGTGTTATACATGTCTATTTCATGTTTAAAATCTCTTTAAATCATGAAATATGCACTTTTAGATTTTTTAGATTTTTCTTTAATTTTTTTTGAATATTTATACATATCTAAATTAGACCGTTATTTGACTTTGTGTTTTTTACCGCTATTTTGCTGCAATAGCCGCTAATATGCTTAACAATGCCTCATTGCTACGCGACATTATCCGCTATCGATAACCTTAATTTTAAGCATGATTCTTACAGTTTCTAGTGCTATTTTGACATGAATTTTTTTTAATAATTATATTCAAATAGAAAGTTAACTGTAGTGATTATTAAATGCATTTGAAGTTGCTTGAATGGTATCTTTTTGAGTCTTAATATGTGCATGTGTTGTATCTTCCAGCAGAAAGAATAAATTAGTCGAGAGTTACCTAATTATATTATCTCTCTGCTGGGAATCAGGATAAAAGATGGAAATGGTGTAAAGTTGTACCCGGAATCAACCTTTGTTATCAACTGTACAGGTGGAAATACTCTCATTGATATCTAAATGCCTTGAATACTTGTTGAGTAAAGATTAAATCCACTCTATTGTAATGCAGGTGATGTTTGCAGAGGTGACATTGTCAAGTTCAAGCAAAGGGTATATGAGAAGTATGCAACTCTTAAACTATAAATCTATTTTGATGCATTTTCTCTAGTGAAACTCCCATTTGTGTTATTTAATCCCTTACGGAGGCCTTTGTTCAACTTTTTCCAAACAGGTTTAACAAAGTTAAAAAGGGTGGAGGTGCAAAGATTATAGGAAAGCGAATAGTTGCTGGAAGGGTTGTGAGTGAAAGCTATGGTGCCGACAAACAGCAGCACACATTCAGTGTAAGACAAACTATCCAACTGATATGTTTTCGAGCAAATTTCTATCATAACCGCTGTTTAATCGATTTGAAAGATTGATGTCTTGTGGAGCAAAGGCGTCAAGGCATTACCACCGCTATTTCCTTTGCTTGTGAAGGGACGCAATTTGTATAGGCTAAAAACTTTTCGCCAGGTACATTTGTCGATAAGATCAATTTTTACGTGGTTATCTATTCTACTTTTTGTAAGATAAACATTTGTCAAAATATTTATCAACAGTGGGCCAGAGAAAATTTGCCGAGTTGTGAATCTCAAATGTTAATGAGGAAAGAAGACTGCGATTGAAATGGCTGATGTTGCCAGAAATGAAATATGGAAGTTGAGGAAAAACCCATGTTCCAACTCATGATCTAAACGAGTCGCATATACACCCTAGTACATGTTCCCCGACGCTGAGGACATCCTCGAAGTGCGGGCGATTTCGTGATATTTCTTCACCCTAGTACATGTTCCCCGACGCTGAGGACATCCTCGAAGTGCGGGCGATTTCGTGATATTTCTTATGGGTTATATCCGAAGACATGGAAAGGGATGTTTTTATGTCAGCAACAGAAGCCCAAGCTCATGACATTATTGATCTTGTAGCAGTTGAAAATGAAAATACTGGAGATTTCGTGTAAATACATGATTCTTTTTCATTTTCAAGGCATAATTCGAATTTTCCGCGATTTGATATTGAATGGAAATAATTCATAACATTTTCAAGGCATAATTCGAATTTTCCGCGATTTGATATTGAATGGAAATAATTCATAATCATCAATCTTCAGGTTAATATCAATCTAAACCAACCTATTTTATTATATATGTATGATATGCCGACAATTAAACAACTTATTAGAAACACAAGACAACTAATAAGAAATATCACGAAATCACCCGCACTTCGAGCATGTCCTCAGCGTCGGGGAACATGTACTAGGGTGTATGTGCGACTCGTTTAGATCATGAGTTGGAACATGAGTTTTTCCTCAACTACTTCCATATTTCATTTCTGGCAACATCAGCCATTTCAATCACAATCTTCTTTCCTCATTAACGTTTGAGATTCACAACTTGGCAAATTTTCTCTGGCCCACTGTTGATAAATATTTTGACAAATAAAATAGCACATGTTGGTATAAACCCATGTGGTCAAGTGGTTGTTAGACACTGTTCAGTGCAAAAAATTGACAGGACTCTTTATCTTTGTTATTAGATTATAGCTACATGACATTGTTGCATAGAGGTGAAGATATTGATGACAAATAACGAAACAATGGTGAAACTGTGGGTTTTCATTCGATGCACTTGATTATGATCATATACCTCAAACCTGAGCACATGAGAAAACTTAACTAAGACTACTCAGAACAGCAAAAGGTGAAAAATCATTAAATTAGTTCAGTGAGAACATAATAACATATTAATAACTCAGAAAATTCAAAGAAAGGAAGAAGGGGAAAAAGGAATTCCAAGCTAGCATGATCTCCCTTAAGGAAAACACTTAACAATGTAATATGGTTGATGAAATTTCCTTTCCCTATCAAAATGGGATTCACTAAGGAGCATGACCAAATTGAGTAAGCATGAGAAAGAGGTTTTTGTTATTTTAAGTTACAGCCTAACACGGACGCTCTACCACTTAGGTGCCAAAATATTGGACAAGGCATGTCTGAGAAAGTGAGGGCTTTGCTCAAGCAGGTTGAGATAATGCAACCATGAGCTTGTTAAAGAAAGAAAAAAAGGCAGGTTGCGAATAACTACGCTAATTCGTTTTCTTGATTTGAACAGTGTGATTTCCACTTAGGTAGCCACAATGGACATAGATAGTCAATTTTAAGAATGTTGCGTAGTTTAAGCTCATGCAATCGAGAGCAACAATCTGAATCTGCAGATTATATAAGCGCTCTATATGAGCACATGAATACATTTTTCATCTTAGTAATTTGTTGTATTCCCCTTAGATTATTGATTTAGCAACTAAAAACAATGCAAAATGATTAAAAATAAAACTGATCTTGTGTTCTATATTTCAGCCTTGGCCAAATGAATCAGAAAGGTCCAGGATTCTGGCTGAAAAGCACAGTAGGGGAGCAGCAGCAAGACACATCAGAGCAATTTCAAAAGCTAAAGCCACAAATGGAGGTTTGTTTTAATTTTTGTAATCTGGTATGATCTTTTATTTTGAAGAAATAAGTATGGCTTCTTGAATCAAATTGTGCTAGAAGCGAGTTTGGTGACTCAGTAGGCTGTATATTTCTAACATGAATGTGGTTTCCCCATTAAACATCAATAAAGATTATTCCCTGACCATGTAAATTAAGAATTAGTTTTTAGTAAATTATTCATCCGGAAACAAAGATTTATTAGAATTTAGAAAGTTCTGTAGGAAACATACATGAAACATATTCCTAAGGTTAGTAGATGGAAAAAAGAGGTAAATGAGCTAAAATCTAATTTGATGAAGAGGAAAATGAATTGGGAGGAAGATTTATTGCAATTTACAATCAAAGCACAGTGTAATAGGAAATTTATCATAAAGGAAAACAGAAATATAAAAATTGTATGTGTTTAGTTGAATATATATGCCTATTTAGTATGCCTCTATGTTTATACAAATTATTTTGTTTCTTCATTGGTGCATAGAACTGTTCATCTTAGATTTTTATCAAACTGAGTAGGAAATAATGGTCCAAAATATTTGGTGCGTTGCTTTTAGGCGTACTTAGTATGACATATTGATTTCGACATCCCACCAGAGAAATTGTAGGGTTGGGGTTTATATCCTACTGAGACCGGCCAAGTCTGGCTACTGATATACCTTAAGACTGACTAGCAAATTATCGTCATTATTGACCCGAAACTGATCACTTTGGTTTCTTCATAGTTTCTTTTTGGGTACTAATAACTGGCATAAAATATCTGTGCGAACATGATATGTTCTTCAAGCCGTCCTTGATAGTAAATCAGGATCTCTTGATTCCTACCAGTAAACTGCTATCCTGTTAATTTACTCTAGTGGAATTGGGAATATGAACCTATGTTCAATAAATTAACTTTCAACATTCTTATTAGCAGCATTCTTGTTCTCTTGAAATTAATGACAAGTTTCTAATTTACAAGTGTATTATTGGTAGGTGCCAAGCGCAAGAAAAATTCATCTACAACGAAAGCACCCCCGAACAAGAAATGTAAAAAAGATACGCAGCTCGTCACTGAGAAGAAGAAACAGAACTTTGTAAAGAAAGCAGGATCATATTCTAGGGACGGCAAAGCAAAGATGAGGAAGACAGCAAAGAAAAGAAACACGGGTTCATCTTCTACTCATTGTAATACAAAGATAAGCGAGGTAGCAAATACAAGGAATCCAGGATCATCTTTTTCACATCCAGAACAATATAGTTATCTACCGATTCACACAGATCACTACTATCCTCAGAGTAACCCATATAACATTTACAATCACAAATCAGCTGAAGCTTTTCATAGGAATTACAATCAAACATCAAGTCACAATTTCGGTATCTCTTCATCTGCGGCTAGAATTCCTAATGTCCATATGTTGCATGGTTATAATACGGGATTTGTTCCATATGCACGTGATCAGATGTCGACCAGGGTCAGTTATGTTACTCATCCTTATGATGGGAATCCTCAATTTCAGTTAGATCCAAGGAGACGGGTAGCATTTGATGATAGAGCTGCAGGTCACCAGTTTCATGAATGGAGAAGACATTAGAGTTTCCACTGGATTAAACTTGATGCCTTTGCTCATTAGCATAAGGAAACGTAACTTGGTTGATTGGTGAAAAATCTTGTTAAAACTATTCCTAACCTTTTTATATTTTAATGTCCGTCAGAGTTAAGTTGAAAGATAATTTTTATGGAGGGAACCGTACAACTTCATGTAGTGCTTTGATCCTTCCAGTGCCAAAAAACAATCGAGATCATGCCTACTGTATTATATACATTCTTATTTTTCATTTGAGCTGCTGAATACTAAGCGATATACACCGTCTGGATTAAAATAGCAGTGATACCAAGGGGTGGCAAACGGGTTGGGTCGGATTATAATTGACCCGATCCGTGTAAGTATGACTTGACCTGACCCGTTTAATAAATGAGTCAATTTGACCCGACCTGTTTATTAAATGGGTTACCCGACCCGACCTGTATAACCCGGATGATCCATTTATTAAACCTCACTTCAATGTTGCGGATACTATATTCAATTATCATCAGCCAAGAGATGTTTCGACATTGGATTTAAATATTTCAACCTAGTTATGCAGCAATGACATAGATTGATAAACTAAAAGGCGTTCAAATGCTTTGAATCAGAAGACTACTGCCTTTTTAAGTGCGTGACAGTTCACATACGAAATGAAGAATAATGTGCTAAGAGGGAGAAAAAAAAAAATCAATGCAAGAACAATTAATAATTCTTATAGTGCTTCAAACCAAGCACCAAATATACAAAGAGAACATGTACCAAGATGCAAACTGACATTTTGCATCACTCCTCATCAAATATCCTTTCTTTAGGTCATAAGTCAACAAAGAGAACTAAAACGAAAAGAAGCAAGCTCTAATTTATTACTCTTTTCTTGAACCAGAAATGACACAGCGAGATATCACACTTTAGAGATACCAAATAAACAGTTATTTACCCAAAGAACATGAGAGAGAATTATTCAAGATGCAAATAATATTCTAGGTCAAGTACAAATTGTTATCTACTGCCAAAAGAGAACATATACCAAAATGTAAGTCAATATTTTGCACAACTCCTCAAAAATATGATTCAATTTCTGGTTCATCAGTTCTTCATCGAACAAGAAATGACATAGCAAAGCCTACTCTTCAGCAGCAATAACGCTGATCTGACCTTGAGAGCAAATGTTATCACTCCTGTCTAAGGAAACATATTAAAACAATCAAATAAACAGATTTAATTACAAATAAATCAAACCATAGGAACTTTATAGATTTGATTATTCAAGTAATCGAAGTTTATACTAAACCAAGGAGACTTCATAGTATAAGAGATTCATACTTGTGTTTGCATAGATTCTCCGACATCTAATTGCACGATATCCTCGGAGAGCTCTTCTAATTTTAGTTGCATGTCATCTATCATTAATAAAAACAATTAAAAAAACCAATAAACAAATTCATAACATGTATATTGATGCAAAAAAGGTAAAAAATTATAACATTAGTAATTGTTTACCTTTGATACCATACAACCAATCACGCGTGGAAACTAAAGTCTCCACATTGTTAGGCTTAAGAGTGCTACGGTATTGGTTAAGGATTCTCCCACCCGCACTAAAAGTACTCTCCGAAGCAACCGTAGGAATAGGAACCGCCATTATGTCCCTTGCCAATAGAGAGAGCTCAGGGTATCTATGTTCGTTAGTCTTCCAAAATGAAAGAACGTCGAGTTGAACATCACGGTCAAGTGTTATTTCATCCAAATAAAGTTCTAATTGGGTCTTTTGAGAACTAATAATTTCATGACTTTCAAACGAGTCGAATTCCTAAATATAAAAAAACATGAGAGAATAAATATACACAAAAATACTAAAAATTACAAGATATATTACAATAACAAATAAGTCAACACTGTTGTTTAGAAATCAATAAAAAGGGAAGAGAAACTTAATGGTGTTGTAAATGAACTGGGAATAAGTCCAAAAGGTTATGTTCATGTCACTGGTTTAGGATATCAGTGACCCAAAATAAAAGCTGATCGTAAGTTTCTGTACATTAGTTTTGACACTGGGAATAAATCCAGAGGTTGTATAGATGCGGTGGCCTCCTGGGAAATTAAGACTCTGCAAGGCCCAGTGCTTTCTAACTTTTCACGTGAAAGCAAAGCAAGTATTCATTGCTTATTAGGAACGAGAACTAAAAGGGTAGATTAGATAACATGCTCATTGTCCCCTAAAAAGTTTGAAGAGGGTGTAGCTAGTCAGAAAACCTCCGCTAGGATTCAACTAACAATTAGCAAGTTAGAATTCAACGGTGAACATAACGGATCCGTTACTAAAATCAGCACATATATGTAAGCAAAACAAGTTGTGCAACTTCTGCTTTCCTAGTTAAGACTTGAAAGAATGGCTAGTTTCAAGCTAAGCAGATTATAAATGAAGCGAGCAAACGATAAGCCAGAATCCCATACAAAGCTGATAAACCTAGTCTATGTACTGTTCTCAGAAAATCGATTTAAAAGAAACAATGTGGCAAGTAGTTTAAGAAATTAAACACATGAGAAAACAGCAACTATTGAGAACTAATGCCCCAGCAAAAAAAAAAGTTAAGAAATTCTAAGGAAGATTTAACTAATGAGCACATTACAATGTGGAAGTTGCAAGAAATTATACACGTACAAGATATAAATACATGCAAAAATAATAAAAACTAAGAGATATACTAATTATTTGAGAAAGAAATTACCCTCAAGATATCAATGCAATTTTGATCAAAAGTGTCATCATACCCACGAGAAGTTCCCTCCTTGCTTGATTTCTCCAAGTTTCTTCTTCTATCACCATCCATCTTTCTCGAGTACTCATTAAAGAGAGAGAATAGATTGTCTTTCACATTCTTGAGCTCCGTAGAATTATATCTATATAGCTCATATATAATAGCAAAGCTCCACAAATTGCATTTTGTATCGGGGATCCAAGATGCAAGCAATGGAGAGTAAAACATTGTACTCACTCCAATATATTTCAAATTTCTAGTACATTTTGGTTGCTATTAACTTAACATATTCATCATTATCTTTCATCCCACTCTTTAAAGTACGTTGCACAACGAATACTTGAAGAAATCATATATTAGCCGTTAAATAATTTGTACTGGAGAAAAGACAAGTGACGTTATAAAAAGTGGCTAATAACCTCTTAACCTTTTCGGCCTTATCCCATTCTTCTTGAGATGGACAAAGTTTTGAGCAATTTGAATCACTCAATTGTATGTGTATAAATGCACGACGATAGTATAAAACACTCTCAAGCATTAGAAAAGTAGCATTCCATCTTGTTGGAACATCTTGCCTTAAACTCTTCTTCACTTTCAAAGATTCATGAGAGACACATTCCCAAAATTTTTATTTTCTAATTTGAGAGCCTTTTATATACTTGACGTTTTCTCAAATTTTATCCATACAACCATGAACTTGTTTTAAACCATCTTGGACAATCAAGTTAAGGATATGAGTACAAAATCTAATATGAAAAAAATTCTCCCTTCCCAAGAAGTGCTTCTTCCAAATTAAGTTATTTTTCAATTAATCAACAAAAGCATCATTTGCAGAGGCATTGTCAAGAGTGAAAGAAAATAATTTCTTTTCAATTTTTTAATCAACTAACAACTTATAGATCTTCTCGCAAATGACAACACCAGATTGAGGAGGTGACATATAAGAAAAGTTAAGAATCTAATTTTATAATTTCCACTCATGATCAATGTAGTGTGCCTTGAGACAAATATATCCGTTGGTGGCTATTGATGTCCACAAATCGGAAGTCAAGTTAATTCTAACTAGAATCGATTCAAAAGCTTCTTTTAGCCTATTTTTCTCTCTTCTATAGATTTTAAGAACATCGAGTTTAAACATATTTCTTGATATGTGTTTTAGATACTCACAAAGATATGAGAAGATTGCTCGAATACTTTCACACTCAACAAATTGCAATGGAAAAGCGTGCATAATGATGGCCGAGACTAAAAGCTCCCTAAACTTATACGGGTCAAAATTAAATCTCGAAGAACTCATTATAGAATCTTTTGAGTTAGATAAATCCTCAATATCATGTCTAGTAGCTTTCTTACAATTTTTCATGTGTCTTAACATGTTTTTCGTCCCATGGTTACCTTCGATTATGTACTAGATTCCACACATCTTACATATTGAATATTGTTTCCCTCCCGGCTCGATTGGAACAAGATCAAACATTTTCCAAGCTCTAGATGTTAATCTTCTTTTTACCTTTTTGTCAATTATCCCTCTCTGTTTTTTAATAGAACTAGATATTTCTTCTAATTCTTCTTCATTAGATGAACCCACTTCTAAATCATCATCTATAGGATTATTGGTAGGTTTGGACTCCAACTGTGAAATAAATACAAAACCACATAAGTTTAAGATAAGAGGGAATCAAAAAGGACACTTTTGTCTGCAATAATAAGCTAATGTAAGTTAGATTGATAAGCTAAAAATATAAAGATTTGAACAATAATAGAATGCCAAGATCAATAAGACATTAACTTGTATATAGCTCAATGGCAGAGAGGCACACTGCTCTGCACAAAGATGCTTATAATAGTTGGACAATTCAGAAAATTATTCCCCTCTTTTTATTTTTAAGGATAGCCAAATAATTAACATATGATACCTCAAATAGAGATCAATAATGTGCAGTGATCTTAACTTCACAGACAAGAAAGAAACAATGATGTATTTGTTCCTGGAAATTTCATTTATAAAAAAGGGTAACAAAGAACAGCCAAGTCCATACAAATATTATCTTTCATCACAAAAATCAAAGTTTAATCATCAATCAAAACCCATAAAGATTCAGACTTTAAGGTCTCGTTTGGTACGTGAGAATGACTGAAAATGAAATATCAATTCTCACTTCTCATTCCTTCCTACCAAACACAACCTCTTTTTAAAGCTGGAATGTCCATTCTCACTTCTCATCAATTCTCACTTTATGTGGGAATGAGCATTCCTAATGAAATGATAGGGAATGGATATTCCCACTTAAGTAGAATCAATAAAATATAAAATTTTAAAATACGTTCATTCCCACTTTATTTTATAAATTACACCAAAACGTGAGAATGGAAATGAGTATTTTATTCTGACATTAATTCCATTCCATTACTTAGTCTATTCCATTCTCATTTTCGTCGATTCTCACGTACCAAACGAGGCGTAATAGAAATTTGAAGCAATCATGAGAATTTGATGCATCTTTAACTAGAGAATTG